ACGAGGGATGGGGGAATGCGGGGCACATGGAGACATTGGTGTGTGTGTGTGGGAGCAGGGGGAATGGGGGCACACACACAACCCCTGGCACCAGGGAGATAGGAGGAGTTGCGGGGAGTCCCTGAAATAGAGGGGGAGGGGAAAGACGTACACAGTGGGGGAATGGAGGGAGCCCCTAGTACAACGCTCCCAGGAGCTGTGGGTGCTGAGCTCCCCCCCCCCGACAGATCCCAGGTATATCCCGCTGGGGACCCACAACCAGAAAGCGTCAGCCTCCCCCATTGTCCTAGCCCCTCGTCTGTGGCTCTCTCGCTTCACTCTGCAATCGGCCACCGTCATCCACGGGAAACTGCAAAACGAAAGCCACGAACCTCCTCGCTGCCCATCATTTCTATAGGTCCTACAAAAACCCTCCTTTGCTCCCCCTGCAGACTGCAGCAGACGTTTACTCCGGCTATCTGCAGGCCTGCGCTGACATCGCAGTGAGGCGGATACACGAATGGCCCAGAGAGATACTGTGTAAACTTTCATCTGGGATGGCAAAGGGGCTGGCACCCATGGAATGCAGCTGACTCTGGGGTGGAGGGTAGCAGCTATATGACTGCTGGACAGCACATAACTGGGCGAGGGCCAGGGAGGGAAAATTTGGGGCAAAACACCAGTAAACACCCCTTGTCTTCCCCGCCATGACACCGAATTGCCAGCACCGTTGAAGTGCATGACAGTCACTTGACGGACACCGGGCCGAGCAGAGCCTGTGGACCGACGGGGTGGGTGTGTCTCACGCCCCAGGCACCTCAGCCAAGCTCAGCGGTGCGACTGTGAGCTCCTGTGTCACGGGGCGGATTTGATGGCGCCCGGGGGATGAACACGCCCTTCCCCCTCTGTCCTTCTGCCCCGGCAGACTCCGGCCGGCGTGGGGCAGTTTCACTGCGCAGCAGGCCCTGCATCGCTGCTGGGTTACCGGGAAGCAGCTGCCAGGCCGCTCCTCTAGTCAGCGGGTTCCCGAGGGCCTGGCTTGGCTCTGACCCCCCACTGCTGTCTCTGGGGAGGACTTTGGGTACGAGGATGCAGAGGCAGCGTCTGAGAAACCCCAGGGGGCCCCAGGGCTCCCGATCGCAGGGGGGAGGCCCCAGCCCTGCCCTCACGTACAAGGGGGAAGCGAGTGGAGCTGAGGGCAGAACTGAGCCCCCAGCGTTGACCCCACCTGGCCGGTGCCCGCATTGCCCTGTGGGGTGGGGACAATGCAGCTGGGGCCTCAGAGGCGATTCACCCCTCCCCCTCGGCTCCTGGGGCACAAGGGGGCGGCTCAGTGGGGCTCCAGGGACTTCCACGCAGGAGGGTCTCAGTCCTTCAGGAGTCTCCTGCTTCCCCCTTAGAGGCCTCTAAGCGAAGAGGAACCGGCCAGCAGCTGGGGGCGGGGGAGGCCGCTTGGGGAGATGTAGGTTCCCCAGCATCAATAAACCACTCAGCCCCCCATGTTTGCACTCCCGACCCGGAGGCGCTGACCCCCAGGGCCACAGCTTCCACATCCCTGCCAGCCTGGGTCCTGGTGACCCTCCAGTCTTAGTGCCCTTTGGCCTGCCCCCCCCCCCACATACAGCCTGTCTACGGAGCCACCATGCTGTCTCTGGCATGTGGGGGATGGCGGGATTCCTACAGGAGGTGGGGGGAGGGATGTGCCGGGGGGTCCTGGGAATGGGGTGTGCTGGGGGGGAGGGGCAGTAGGTATTAAGCAGAACATGTGCTTGGCTAACATGCAGACAAAGCTCTCAGAACCCCCACAGGCCAGGCGTAACGAGCGTGACAATCAAGGAGCTAACGGGGAAGTGGGGGGAATAGAAAGGAAATAATGTCAAATCCCCCATTAGCTCAGATGTCACCCACATACTCACGCGGCGACGCACTGGAGCAAGTCTGTCCCGCGCTGGGCTGCCAGCCCCCAGCTCAGGGTTTCGAGGTTCCCTTGCTGTAGAGCGGGCACAGGAGGCCGGATAACCAGTGCAGCTCCTGCAATGGCCTGGGTGATCTGAGTGCAGACACAGGTCTGGTGGGTCCGTGGCAGGAGGAAGCGTTCACCACATCATTTGTTTGAATGCAAATAGTGAGGGGCTGAGGGGCTCAGGGATTGGGAACAGGCTGAAAGGGCTTTCACATCCGGCTAGGGGCACTCATGCCTATCAGTTGTTCCCAACGGGGGACTGTTTGGGTGCAATAAGCTGTTGGGGTCTCAGCCCAGTTCTATATAACAGATAAGCTACAGCCCAGTTGGTACTGATTGGTGAGCACAGGAGCACAGGGGTGAATGGAGGCTGCAGTACCCTCTTACCCACACAGGCTGAACGCTGGCAGGGGGCTGCGTGTGGGGAAAGCTCGGCCTGTGGCTGCCCAGGGCTCGGGGACATCACACTCCTGAGAATCAGGCGCCTTCCCCCCGCACTGAATGATTCAAGTTGAAAAGCAGGATAATTGAAAAAGTCCACACGTTCGTGTAACACGTTTGTAAAGTACAGGCCACGCCCTCGCTCCCGGCGAGCCACTTGGAGGATAACAGCCTACTACTGCTACGCATTAATGGAGTTACCCCGATGGCTCAGGTAGTAATAGACTCTGTGCTTCCAGGTGGAAAATCCCAGGTTCAAACCCTGCTGATGATCCCAGATGGGGAGTGTTGCAAAGCTGCCATGTGAATGGGAACACCCCCAGCTCTGGGGGGTGGCGCCTAGCCAGCGGTGCATGCAGCCTCCACTTACTGGGCTGTGAGTGAAGAGGCCCAAGAGAGCCCGGGTAGAGCCTTTTGCTACCGTCGCAAGAGGCTGGGGGGCTCCTAGGAGCTGGGAAATGCTTGTATGGAAAATCACCTGACTGTGGAGAGCCTTTGGCAGGGCGCAGGTATAATTAGAAAAGCTGGCCTTGGCAGCCGGCAGCTCTCTGCAGCGAGAGGCCAATCCAGGAAGAGCCCCTGGAGTGGGAAGAAAAGCCCGTTGTTGAAGGAAAAAGGGAGGTTTTCGAAGCCAGTACTGCTCTGCCCTGCGGTTAGCTGGGTCAGCGGCGCACGCTCAGCCCCAGGGGAAGGGAGAGGGAAGCCAGAACCACGCGAGGAACCCAGACAACCCGAGGGCTCCCAGTCCTAGGTGGATGTGCCCCTGTGGAACTGGTGGGGCCGGGGGAGTCCAGGGAGTCAAGGCTGAGCCGTGGGAGGCTGTAGGGTCAGATGCCCACTGCAGCACAGGATGTGGTAAACCATCACCGCTGCTATTTCGGGAGAGTGAGGCACGAGGGTGAAGGATTCAGCTGAAATTTCAACCCTACTATGGCAGTTTCTGCTTCCCCCCCTCCCCCAGGGTTAGAGAGTGGACACACACTCTCTCCCTCCCCTCCCCTGTAATCCCTTTAAATTGAGACCGTTTGGCCAAGCAGAAAGTTGTTCTCAGTTCCCCTTGAAATCCCTTAATCTCCGGCGCTGTATTAGATTTCAAAATACGACTCGCTCTCCCGTGGTGCACTTTGGTTTGGTTTGGTTTTAAACAAGGCTTTGCTTTTAAACAGGCCTTGAAATGCCTTTGCCTCCCCCAGCTGCCAGGACTCCCGGCACAGATTGGTTAATGCAGGTGAGAAAGCAGAAACTGGAATCCAGCTACGCCCCCATGAAAGCCATCTAGGAATTCACCTGCGTCCCCAGGTACGGCAGAGTAGGACAAGTGGTGAGAGCAAGGGGAGAACTGGGCTCGAGTCCCAGCAGCGCTAGACGCCCTATAGGACCTTGGGGAAGGCCTCTCTGGGCCTCAGCTTCCCCATCTGTAAATGGAGGGATACTCCCCTACTTCACTGGGGGAGGGGGCTGGGAGGATCAGTCCATTCATGAATGCAGGGTGCTCAGACACTAGAGGATGGGAGCAGGGCATGGAGATGCCAATCAATAAATGAAACAAATCAAGCCGTTATGCCAGCAGCCGTGAGAATCAGCAGAGATGGGTATTGCCAACAGCCCTGCCCGTCCCCAGCTCAGCCACTCATGGTGTCGGGGGCTTTGCTGTTGGTGCAGGGCAGGCCCAGACCAGACCAGGGTGCGGAGGTGGACGGGCAAGGGGGTGGAGAATCCAGGAGCGTGGCCCCCACAATAGCTGGAGCCCCCAGGGCCTGCACTTGTCACTGCCCAGCACAGGACGGGGCTGGATGTGGGGAACGGCAGAACCTGCCTCTGAACAGGGACCCCTGAGACAGGTGGGGAGGCTGGTGGGACAGTCCCCATGGGGCTGTGTGCGGATCGGGGGCACTGGGGGGGAGGGAAGACTGAGAGGGTTTGTGGGGAGAGGGAGGGAATTCTGTCCGTTCCACCAAATAACCTTGCTGGGGCCCCGCATGTCCAGTCCTGGCCTAGGGAGCCAGCCCAGGGGTGGCAGGTGTCTAGGTAACTGCATCTCCTCCCCCAGATTGAACTCTCTCCCCCCGGCCTAGGCACCGGGATGCTGCCCCCTGCCCCCGTGGCCTGGTGCAGCCCCGTGCTGCCCTTGGCGCTGAGCGAGGCTTTCGCCCAGTCTGGCGGCTGCTGCCTCCCCAGAAGGGTTTTGTCCTTGGCTAACAACAACAAACAGCACAATCTGGCCTGGCTTCCCTCTCCTGCCGGTCGTAAGTGCTGACCCATCACCCCGGCCCCGGCTAGCGCCACACGCGGCTTCCTGAAGCTGTTTCCTTCCGCAGCCCGGAGCCCGGGTTTATTTTGCCAGAAGCTGACTTAGCCCTGCACCTGACACTTGGCCCGACCGGCGCCCCCGGCCGGTAAATTCTGTTCAGGGCCCTGTGTGGAGGCACTGCGTCTCCGCTCCCGATGAGGGCGAACAGATGGCTTGAGAGGGACTGAGCGCCGAGCCAGGCTGTGCACTGAGGGATCGACCTGTAGCTCCTACCCACCGGCCAGAGGTCCAGCCGTCCATGGTGCCGCTGCTCAGAGACCGCATCTAGGCTCCTCCAGGCCTTCCCCCTGCTGCTATCACAGGGGAGGCTTCATGCCCCATCTCTGGCCATTCACAACCTTCCTAACATGCAGGCCACCATTTGTATAGGTCCTTTACAAATGGGGGAGGGGAGGGATAGCTCAGTGGTTTGAGCATTGGCCTGCTAAACCCAGGATTGTGAGTTCAATCCTTAAGGGGGCCATTTAGGGATCTGGGGCAAAAATCTGTCTGGAGATTGGTCCTGCTTTGAGCAGGGGATTGGACTAGATAACTCCTGAGGTCCCTTCTAACCCTGATATTCTGTGATACAGAAACTATCACCCAATTCCCCCTGCTGAGCCCAGCCATCTGCAATACAGAAACTATCACCCAATTCCCCCTGCTGAGCCCAGCCATCTGCTGGTTGGTGCTAGGGTGACCAGATGTCCCAATTTTATAGGGACAGTCCCAATTTTTGGGTCTTTTTCTTATATAGGCTCCTATTACCCCCCACCCCCTGTCCTGATTGTTCACACTTGCTGTCTAGTCGCCCTATCACCAGCAAGGAAAATACACAAAAGAGATGCAAAAGAACTTGGAGCCATTGCCTAGCACCATGGGCTTGGGTTGCGGGAGCAACTGGCTGCAGGATCAGGCCCTAATAAGGAAAGAATTTCCTTTCCCTCTGCTAAGAAGGAGAGACTCTGAAAGGATTCACTCTGCTAAATCAAAACTGGTTGCTGGATTTCTTTGCAGGCTAAACTTTCCTCTCTAGTCATGCTGGTTTGGGTTTTATCTAGCATAGAAAATCAGCTAGCATATTCAGGCTTCCTGGCTCTTATCGGCTTGTGTCACCACTCCATTGTTATTTGAACAATTCCTTTGTTTGTTTTAAGCAAGCAGAAAGACTCACCTTCAGGAGAAGGTGATAACATTTTACTGTGGACGATGAGTGGCCCATTGCTTACATTGTGGATTCGTGGGCACATTCCTGTCTCAGCTGGGCTTGTCCAGAAATCAGCCCCTCGGTGGAAACTCACAAGCCTTGCAGATTTTCCTTCTCCTCTTGCAAAAACAAAACACCGTTGCTAAAACAAAGGGGCAGGGGGGATTGTTTTTCACCACAGGGTGAATTGGGCAAAATTCAGAGTTATTAGTGTACTATAGGAGCACCCAACCGAGAGCAGGGCCCCGCTGCACAGGCATGGAAGGAGAACCAGTCCCTGAGCCAAAGGGCCTACAGTCTAAACACACAAAAGGGTGAAAAAACAGGGAAAAAGTGATGTGACCAAGGTCACCCAGCAGGGGGGTGGCAGAGTCGGGAGTAGACCCCAGGTCTCATGAGCACCAGGTCAGGGCCTGAGCCATTGCTCTTGCTGCCTCCCCTCTGGGAAGTGCCCCCCTGCTTCTCAAAAGATCCCCCCCCACACTACAGTGTGGTAGCTTCTCAAAAGATCCCCCCATAGCAGGCCCCCCAGACTCTCCATTGCCAGTTGCAGCTTGTTGACTTATCACTATAGCAGCTGTATTCATCAAGATGCACGCGCCCCCCCCTTCACCAACACCTCGACCTGCACACGTGACTCGCCCCGGCCTGGTGCGGCACGGAACTGGACACAGCGCTAGCAAATCCTCTGGAAATGTTTATGAGATGCGGTTACTTCGCGCGGGCAGGCACCTCCTCCCAGCATTTCATAGCGAGCTAATCTCTTCACAAATGTCCCTCAAATGCCAAAATTAATGGGCCGATCACCTGCCAAATATCACTGGTTCACTCCAGGGCATTCCCCCCACCAGTTATATGAGTGTGAACAAGGGACAGGGCCGATTCCCAGACAGCATCGCACCATCGGCTTCAGCTAAGCGTCTCGCCCAGGGGTGCCAGCAGCAGGGCAAAAGCCAATGCCCCCGTAACCAGACTGGATTGATGTGCCGTGAGCAGCCGGTGAGGGGATCCTGGCAGCTGTTTATGCCAAGGCCCTGGGCTACCCAGTCAGCACTGGGTGCAGGACCGCAGGGCAGAGAGGGAAGATCGTTGGGTCAGATGCTGCTCTCACCGCTTCAAATCCGGAGCAGCCCGTCTGAAGTCCGTGTGCGGGCTGAGAAGCCCTTGTCTCTGATGGGTGCACAGCCAACCCCGGGCTCTGGTAGCCTCCTGTGGGCCAGGGCAGCCTGAGCGGAAAGCGGATGGCACACAAAGCCCTGGATGGAGACTATGGACCTGTTACGCCCACGGCTGCCCAGGACTGGGTTAGGCGGGTCAGCAGGTCCCCTCTGCCCTGGGCATGCCCGGCTGCAGATGCCCAGGGGCACTGACAAAAGCAGGCATTGCCTTGTGCGTCCGGGTTTCTCCCACGGGCCGGCCCCATGGGGTGTGGTAGCTCGCGGCAGCCCCGTGTGCAAGCAGGACTCCCAGGGTGCCGAGCCGCATGGTTTATGCAGACTTAGCGTGGGAAGCACGGTCTGGCTTGGGGAATTACTCGGCGGGATTACGCTAAGGATCTTAAAGACGACTTAGGATCGGAAAGTGGGGCAGACAATCCTGGTGCGCTGCATGGCTGAGCGAGCCCACGGGGGCGGCAGGTGAGCTGCTCCGTACAAACCAAAATGCAGCTGCTCCCGATTTCCTCCCGCCCAGTCACAGCCCAGAGGGGCCAGGGCAAGACTCCATCAGCTACGCTTCCCCGTGACAAAGGCCATCCCGGGCTCAGCTCCAAGACAGGAGCCCTACAATGGCACCAAGAAACAGTGCCCCGATCCCACACTTACTCCAGTGTAACCCCCCGATGGCAGGAGAGGGGGGATCTAGTGCGTAGAGCCCGCTCCAGGCCTCAGCCCCCCGCAGCTGTAAACCAGGGCTAACCGCATGGGCCCTGGCGCACAGCGATGTGGGAGGATAGACACATTAAAGAGTGTCAGGTGTCCAGATACCATGGTGATGGGAGCCTAAAGTACTACAGTAGGTGCATCCACAGTGTTCCTCTGGCTTCACGCTGGGACAGCAGAGACCGGGCCTGGGCTAGCATCCACCTCTGGATTAAATATACAGTGGGGAAAAATCAAAGCAATAATCACACATGGCATGTACAGAATTCCATCCATGCGGATCAACGCCCTTCACAACAGCCGCCTCCCTGCTGCAGGGGAGGCGTCTATCCCCCTTTCACAGAAGGGGAAACCGAGGCACAGAGCGGTGAGGGGGGATTACAGCTCTCGGGGCAGGGCCCATCTAGGTCCGACACTGAAGCCCCGCTGTCTTTGCAGCCCCACCTCCCACGGACACAAGCAGGATGATCAGGGAGCAGCTTTCTGTCTCCAACCCCATTAGGACCCGGCGTCTCATCAGCCCGGCTTTAGGGACGGCGGAAATGAGGCCCAGAGAGAGGACGGGAGGTGCCCACGGTCACTCAGGAGAGCCGGGCTAGTCCCCAGGTTTCTCAGCTCCCAGCCCAGCACCTGACCCATTGGGCCACAGTGTCTCAAAGGGCAACATCAGGCTCCACACGGCGCGGGCGGAGCAGCCGGTGCTGCGCTCCTATCCCAGGAATTTGGCCAGCTCCGTCCCCGCTAGCGAAGCCAGAGCCCAG